AAGGGTGAGGGTTGAATCCGTATCCATCAATATTTTCATTCACAACCTTCGTGACAGAAACGAGCTTTGCCAGCAGTCACGTACGAAAACACATGCGACGTGTTGAGGCGAAAAGTAGGTAACTCGGAGTAACTGATCGAGGACCGTAGAGAGACCGGTAGGTTAACGATGGCGATGGCAGGTGTCAAGCGGTTAGTTGATCACTGTCAAATAAATCGAAATAGCTTCGTTGCCGCTCGTGCACATCGTCGTGTTACAGGCGAAATAAAAACAAAATTGCAGACACGCGATTCTAAAAGAAGAGACTGATCGCATTTTATAGCACTTTAAACAGAAAAAAGAAGGAACATAATATTTTCTAGAAAGCAGATTTATAACGTAAGAAACTAAACGACGATAAACCTGCCAATTCAAATATTTATATAGCTTGTTTTATTAATAACTATCGGTAATTATCTGAAGCTACGTGTTATTTCAGATATCTAAAAAAGGAACTTATTGTAATATTAATAAAACTCATCTCAACATTTCATTGGAAACATCTCGATTAAAATACGATACAAATGATAATATAAATATAAATGTGCTGTTTAACAATCAATCAGAGTAAAATCAATTTCAAGTCTTGTATCTGTTTTTAAATTCCTCTGTGATGGATTTAATAAAATTACGATATTAATGAATACAAGTAGAAAAAGAGCACATAGCTGCAGAAGGGTAAAAGGGGATAAAGAGGGGGAGAGAGAGATCTCGGAAGAAATCTAGCGAGTCCTCGACAGCGCGTTTCAAACATCTGCCAGCGCACAGATATCTTTCCTCGCAGCCTCTCGCAGATTCATACGATTCTCCGCGTGAAGCGAGCGATCGCGTATACAGACGCGAGGTACGCACGTGTACGTACGTGTGCTGTATACGAGACTATACGTCCTGTGTTGTGGTACATAAATCATAAGCGCCAGTAAGTGGAGGAATGCGACATAACGTTCGTTTATCGTACTCGTACAGATACCGATTCGAGACGCGAGTTCGTCGGAACGAACGCTATGTCGAGCAACCTAAGCGTCCGTTCGATAATTCATCCTTGGTGCATGAAATCGCGAAAATAACAGTCTATCGGGCCGTCGTACGTGACCCGCTGGCATTATAATTTCACATTTTACGTGCAAGATGTCTACATACGAGCAAGCATAGCGATGCGTTCCTTAAGAAGTAAGAGACAAAAGATTGATAATAAACCGCCAATTAAACAAGCTCAAGTCGATGCACCCGTCCAGACAACTCCAGTTCCTCGTCGCAGTAGACAGCATCCGTTAACAGTCTCCGTCATGGATTAATCCGCCGCGAGCTATAACGAATCCCGCGTATCCCGGCGATGATTGAAAACTGGAAGTCGCGTCCGGCAGAGAGCGACGACGGAGAGCCTGTCGCACGTCGTCGCGTCGCGGACGGTAATCGCCGCCTCTTTTAGCGAGACGAAAGGAGAAAGAGAGACAGGCTTAAACGTGGCGCGCGCTTTTTTCTTCTATAACTCAATCACGGCCGTTACGTCGAACCAGGATGAGCCGTAAAGTCCGGTCATTAGAAACGCGCGGTGCGCGTCGCGTCGCGCCGTACGACAAATCGCCGTGGAACAAAAGTCTTCTCCGGCCTACATTTCGCTCGCGCAGGCCGGCAGATGCGCTGACAAGCGAGAATCACCTTAAAGGCGTCGCGCTCGACAGATTGCACCGGCTCGACTCTGATTGATGCGCCCGCGAACAACAATCCAACAGGCCCGGCGCGCACAGCCAGCCAACGGCAGCGCTCTTTCCTATTCATCTTCTTCTTGCGCTCCAGCGCATTAGCGACAATACCTGTGTGCATTAAGGCGCTGGTTGTTGGGTACGTACCCTCGACAGCCGCACTACCGTACTTACGCCGCGAGATGCAACTTTAAATCTCTTTCTTTCTCTCTCCTCCTTGCTCCCCGACTTGCTGCGAACGGGAGGAAATTTCGTGAAAGTATATACGCGTTCTCGCGTGAGACTTCTCTCACAATTAGCCGACGAGTCGGGAGCCTCTTTGCGCGTATGTCGTCGAAGTTTCTTGTTCTTGAACCATATGTGAAGTTCATAGATATTTTTTTCCTCGATAAGCGTAAAACGCGCGTCTTTAGAGAGAAAAAGAGAGAGAAATAAAAGGTATAATTTCGTATTTCCTGTTATGCTATGCTTTAACAAGCGTACAAGAAAATATGCTAATTATTATTTAGATGCTTATTATTCATCTATAATAAGCGTTTAATGTACTAATTTGTACGTTTCTTACTCTGCGTCCGTATATAACTTTGCACATATTGGCAAACATATATTAATATAGTATACGTGAAGAAAAGAGTATTGTAACTATATATATATTTTTTTGAGGAAAATTTGTTGTTATTTCAATAAGTGAAATTTTAATAACGTGATATTATTTGGTGACTACTTATAAAAGTGGTCCCGCGTTTTTCAATCATTAATTTCGCCCATCATAATTCCAACATATCGATTGACACGCGATCACGATTGACGCACGCCCTTACACAAGAGGAAAAGGATACTTTTGACACGTAGTATCGCTGTTATTAATATCCTTTACCAATCTTACCTGCAACCAACACCTACGCGATCAGCGGGGTTCCTGTCTCCTTGGAATTCTCTGGTGTCTACCTGGTTGACATTTGACAGGCACGATAGCCACGAGATTCCTCTTGCTTGACATCCGATCGATGGATGTTCGATTCTAATAATAAGATGTATAAAATAAGATAATTGCTACGAAGTTTAACAATCATAATTTTGTCGATGTTGTTTAAACACGGATAAAATTTGTCAACTATATTTGTTATCAATAACGTAATGAAATTTAATTATATAGATTTGTGCAAGATTTTTAAAATAATTTCAAAATTGAATGAAGTTTTAATCATTCTTTTGGAGAGAATAAAGATTAAAGATGTTATATTACACATTACAATTATATATATATAAAATTTCATTAATATTTTTATAACATTAATATAGGCAAAGTATATATGCTAAAAGATTTTTTAAATATTTAAATTATTAATTATATGGTTTTTGTAAAGAAAGCATTACAATTATTTATTTTGTATTAAAATTGTATTTTTTTTTCTAGAAACATCAAATTTATGCGTTTCAGGGTCGCATGCCATTTATGCGAGCGATGAGCATGGAACAACGATGGCAGGATCTCGCATCTTTGTTATCCTTACCGGGAGCACCGGATCATTTTGCACATCCAGCACATCCTGGATACCCAGGACACGGCATAAGTCACAGTCATTACGAGGCGCAACGTAATGTATTGCTCCATAATCCTACCTTAGCACCTCCGGTCGGGGATCTCAATTCGACCGGACCTTATCACAATGTGGGTGAGTATTATGTAAAGTTGTACAAAAGTTTTATTTCTAATTTATATTAAATGCTATACTATTATTTCTGATGTAACAGTAAATCTTTGCAGCGTAAATTAAAATCATATTAATATACTATGTATCATCGGTAACGTAGACAATTTTGTTTAATCAAAAGATTTTTTTATATTAACGCGAAATCTAACGCGCAAACTTTTATCTTCAAATATGTAATACATAAAAAGATAAAAATATATTTATCATATTTATGTTTTCATACTGTGCACGTGTGTATGTGTATATATACACACACAGTGTATAAAATTGTACAAATTTAAGTGATCATCAATTTTATAAAAAAGATGAGGAATGCAATAATCTAAAATGTCATCTAAGAAATTTCATTGTCTGAACTAAACTGCTCACTGTTACAGGTGGGTCGTCGAACCTGGGTTCAGCTGTGGCAACATCAATGAATTTGACGAACAGTAGCGAACCAATGGGTGCAGAGAGTGGCGCAACTTATAAATCTGAACCTAACGATATGATGTACTATCATACACCGACAACAGATTCTATCAACCAAACTACTGACGGATTTCTTTCATCTTTACTCAATGATGAAGATTTACACCTGATGGATATGGCCATGAATGATGGTAAGTACTATAATTGCTTATATATCATCGATAGGTAATAAAATCTCACTTTCTTAATAATGTAAAATTTAAAAATACTGACTCAAAAAGAGTTTAAAGAGCCTTAAACATACCATTCATATGAACAACATATTTTTAAATTGGTTATACAATTTAGTCAATTTATAACAATTTAATAATTAACGAATTCGATCAAATTGAAATTTAAAACAAGTTTATAAAAAGTTGTTATAAACTCAGCTTTTTAATATGATCGTTATTAACATCCTTTGGTCAATAAAACATATTCGTTCTCTATGTACATGTAGCATGCTATGATTGATAGTAACAATATATTAATTTCTGTCACTATTTATATTAGAACCTAAAAATAACATTGAAAAATATTTTAAAAGAAAGTATTTTATTATAAAACTATAAAAATTGTTATAAAGTTATATTTTTTATTAAACGTATAAAAATATAACATCGGAAGGAAACATAATGTAATCACAATGTTTTTTAAACCATCATTATAATTACTTATCACAAAGATAATTAAACTTACAATATCATCACATGAGATATATTTGGTTGATTAAAAACAGAAAAAAAAGAAAAATGAAAAGAAGAAATTAATTATATCCTATTCAGGAATGTACATTTTTTTGTAATATACTATATTATAACTATAATATTAAGATATATTAAGATATATTTTATATTATAATATATAAAATATATTATATATTATAATATACTATATTAAGTATAGTATAATATATAATATACTATATTAAGTATAGTATAATATACTATATTACATTATTTATATTACTAAAAAGTAATATAAATAAATGTATCTAAAATCTTTTACATATCTTTATAACCTAAAACTTAGTTATTGGAAGTAATTTCTCTCAGACTATATATATATATATATATATATAGTTAAATTTATGCTTATGTAAACTTGAGGTAGTAATAGAAATCTGAATGTGTTTAAATTCTTTCTCTATGTAAGAGATGTAATACATATAACAAATGTTATGAATTAATTCAATAAACTAAACATAATGGAAAATAACTGTCATATATATTGCACTTTTGTGCATATTCTATGTGGACTTGTATGTAGAATCTACCATATTTTTTTTCAAATTAAAGAAAACGAGTAGTATTTAAATAAAATAAGAGGCACTTGTCTCGTCTACCATACCTCTTCTGGTTCTGCTGGTACAGGAGGTGCATAACCAACGTCCTCATATGTCTCACCACCATATGCATCATTGTTCTATTGAAAAGTAAATTCTATTAATAAATTATATTTTTCTATATTAATAAATGATATATATTTAATTATATTTATAATATTTATTAGAATAATATTTATTTAAAAAATATTAAAACTTTCAATTTGATGCAATTGTATCCTTCATAGTTTTTATAATAAAGTTTTTGTTATTCTATTTTCTCGTTATTTATCAAGTATAATAAAGATAAATTATATATTATTGACATTCGATTAGAAATATAAATTCTGTAATTACTATGGAGCCTAAATTCTATACTACTTACGCCTCTAATATCTTCTCCGCCGAATCTTCTTGATCCTCTTCCTGGCCCAAAGGTTCTGCTCCCGCCGCCACCACCAGATTCTAGCCAGCCAGGTATCGCTTGATCAGCTTGTTTTAAAATTTTAATCAAATCGCCAGTAAGCGGCGTATCTACATTTGGATCAAAAAATGAAGTCGCTTTGCCGCGATTTCCCACACGTCCAGTTCGTCCGATTCTATGAACGTATTCATCGATTGTCTTTGGTAGGTCAAAGTTAATTACATGAGCGACATTTTTAATGTCCAAGCCTCGCGCAGCAACCGCTGTAGCTACCAAGATTGACATTTTTCCTCGCTTAAAATCAGATAGAGCTTCTTCTCGTTCTCTTTGTAATCTATCACCATGTATACTGGTTGTCGGAAAATTGCTCTCTGACAAGAAAGCAGCAATGAAATCCGTGTGTCTCTTCTGCTCGACGAATACTAAAGTACCTTCTATACTTCCCATCTGACTTTGTTTATCTAAAAGTTCTTTCAATAACTTTCGTTTCTCGGGTTGGCCAGATGCTTGATAGAAATTCTGTTGTACATCAGCGCAAGCACCACCTACGATTCCAACAGCAAGGAATAAATAATTCTTCAAAAATCGACCTGCAAGTTCTTGTATTTCACTTGGGAAGGTAGCAGAAAACATAAGAGTCTGTCTTTCTTCCGCAGGCACCATTGTTTCATGATCTACTATTTTTTCGATATCTGGTAGAAAGCCCATATCTAGCATTCGATCTGCCTCATCCAATACGAAAAAACGTAAAGAAGAAAGTTTAATTCTTCCTCTTCCAATGAAATCTAATAATCTACCTGGTGTTGCAACTAAAACGTGGCAACCGGCAAATATTTTCTCTCTATTATGTGAAACTGATGTCCCTCCATAAGCAACTTCACAGCGTATGATAGAGTTCAAAGAAAATTTCTTGGCCTGTTGATAAATCTGCTGGGTAAGCTCGCGTGTGGGTGATACAATAAGTACTTGTGGTTCGCAGGAAGTGGACGTTGTAATTAAATCTCTTGGGTTCTCTAACAGAGTGTGCAGGATAGGAACTACGAATGCTGCAGTTTTGCCCGAACCTGTTTGCGCGCAAGCCATCAAATCACGACCACTCATTATAATTGGAATAGCATATTTTTGCACAGGAGTAGGTTTTGTATAACCTGATTTTTTAATATTATCCAACAAGATAGTTCTCAGTCCAGTTTGATTAAAAGATTGTATCGGCCGCGGTGCGTTCTCACCACTCACTTTTACTTCAATGTCATCATATTTATCGAAATTTATTCCCATAGATACATCGTTTCCAAACAAGGAACTTTCGTCATTAGGTAGTTCTGGTGGAATATAATTCTCCCTTTTCTTTGGTTCATCTTCATTATTACCTTCTCTACCATCATTATCATTTCCTCTGCGTCTTCTGTTCTGGTTATCACTGTTTTCATTGTAACCATCATCACCACCACCTCTGTCCCTACCATAACCGCCACTTCTTCCACCTCTGTTATCACCTCTATCTCTTCTTGGTCTGTCGTTCCTTCTATCGTTTTGGTAATTTCCATCATAGCCATTATCTTCATTATCGTCATCATTGTTACCTCTATTTTGTCTACTATTGTTCCTATCTCTATTACCTTGCCACCGATCATTTCCATCACTACCACCTCTATTACTTCCATAACGTGGCCTATCGTTGTCTTGTCGTCTATTGTTTCCTCCAAATCTTTTACCATTATTGCTTTGGTATCCATTATTTTCATAATTATCTTCTTTATTATCGCCATAGTTTTCCTGATAGTCATCTGTTTTTCCATTGTCGTGGGAATTATATCCTCCCACAGAACAATTTGTATCATTGTTGTTGTATGGAATTGTGCCACGTCCCTTGCCACGAGAAGGAGCGCGTCCTTCATCAAACTATTTATAAATAAAACAACAACATTAGTGACCAGAGCTTATTTCTTTATCATTTATATATATATATATATATATATATATATATATATATAATTGTATATAAAAATTATTTAAAATCATATTCTTACCGAGGACGTGTTTATTGGTGGTTGTGAAAAGTCCATATCATTAATTCCCCACTGTTCCTCAGCCATCTTTGCCTATTGCCATAATTCGCACATTATATATACATATATAACATATAGACATATTTAAATGAAATATATAACATATATAAATAAAATATATAATTAATGTATAATTATACTAAATATGTTATATTGCCATTTAATATAAAAAAATTTCAAAAATATATTTACTATATATTATTTACTATAATTATTTACTATATTATTTACTAAAAATTGTACTACAAAAAACAATGGAATATAAAATAATAATAAAAATAATTTGCAAACATAAATTTTGAAAAGTAAAATTCATCAATTATATGGTTAATTGCAATATATTCAATCTGATCCTAAATACAACAAATTAACAGTATTTTTTCACTTATGTTAATAAATGTAAATAAATGAAAATTAATTTAAATTTATATTATCTCTCAAGAATTACATAAATAAAAAAATGAATAAACAAAAACTTTCTTTGTAATATTTTACAATATATAAACACATTTTACTAATAAATTTTCATAACCATTTCATATGCACGAATATTATACAAAATTATATATGAGACGACTTTCTAAATGATTTTCACTACTTATAGCAAAAATTATAATTTTGCTTGATAAAAATAAAGATATTTCTTAACATTAAATATCACATTTTTTATTATAACTTCTTAACGTCTAAAAAGTTGCACCGTTCATTCCTCGTGCTTATGTTTTTACTTAGAAATATGTGTTGAAGAAATGAAAATATCGAGAGAAAAAACAAACATATCACGAACTAGTAGATAAGGTATAATTGCGAACGAAATATAACCGCAAGTTTCCGTTTCAGATCTTATAATATCGTATTCTATATATTTGTGTAATAGATATTTTCTAAACAATAACAATTATAAACAATACAAATATGTATTTTTTCCCTAACGATCAAATCATTTTATTATTTACTAAGGGTCAAATCATTTTCCGATTTTATATTATTCTGATTTTCAATATTAAAAAATGTATAATTATTTCGTTTGCCTAATCGACTTTTTTTTACCGTGATTTACTTTCTTACTTTCGGCCTGATCGTAAAATATCAAATTATTTTTATACTATTGTACTATTTTTTTTAGTATCTTTCTTTTGTATTTTTTTAGTATCTTCCTTTTGTATTTTTTTAGTATCTTCCTTTTGTATTTTTTTAGTATATTTCTTTTGTACTTTAGAATGAAAGAATAACCGATGAAAAACGCGGGATTCGTGCAAAAATCTTTTCGAATAACTACGTGATTGCTTCCTATACAAATATATCGATATATCAAAGGATCAGAACACGTAGCACGCATCACTCTCGACTGGAATATCACGAATTAGAAATGATAAAGAAAATACACAAGCGCCGGCTCGCTTTTTGCCGACAATGCCGGTATCATATTACAATTATATAATCAACATTACTTATTCTGATGTACTTTAGTGAATCGCGAGAAAATATTCTCACAATTAGTTTAAAAAAAGGACAAGCATCGTCGTCGGCGAATATTACGCGCTGACATAATCCTTATGCGTAATTAATACACCACGTGATAGACGATCGATTACAAAGTATCCCGGCTAACATGGCTGAAATGAGACGCATCATCGCTTCGACGCTCGTTTACGTACCTTGCACGTCTTAGTACTAATCAGGATATTCTCCGTGTCCTCTCTCACGAATCGTTTAATGCGCAGTCACGTCGAGACGAAAATACAGGAGCACAAAATTTACGAGAGCTAGACTAAAGCGTTAACACACGAACTGCCCAACTGCCGCGAATTGCGCATCGGCGTTGTGTGGCGCTTCTCGACGGATCAGCTGCAGAGAAGACCGGCGTGCGCATGCGCAGTACGTAGCTCCATCCCTTCCATCTCTCCATCTCATCGCCTGACCGTACAGGCGCAAAGATCGGTGTCGATTGTTTTGTTTATCAATATAACGCCGTAACGGCGTCTTTGATTTACACTATCCAGAGCGAGCAATAAAAGTCTTTTCTTGTAAACAAATACAAAAACCAAAATGTGTTATGAGAAGGAAGTCAATAATTTGTATATCATGTCATAGAAGTATTTATCATGAATTGTTTGCAAGCTTTTCTGTTAAAAGATTTTTGAATGACTAAAAATATCTTACATGATAACGGATATTTATAAAATAAAATTGTTCGCGTGTATTTTATTGTAGTATCTTTGGGAATTAATATTAAAGCGCGTACACATGTGTACAAACACTTTATGTAAGAGTAATTTTCTGATATAAATTTTTCTCTAAAACTAACAGAATATTATGTCAGTTTATAAAGATATATATATATATATATATATATATATATATATATATACACATAGATAGATAGATAGATAGATAGATAGATAGATTCTGATCTTGAAGATAAAATATGTGAAAGTGAATAACAGCATTTGACCTAGGTCAATATGGTTTGATTTGGTAAAGGACAATCTGAATAAACGAAAATCTGATACAGTAGAAAAAAGTTATATTTTTTTTCATATTGTCGAAAGATAATATATATTATGTTACTAATCTTTTTCTCTTTCTCTCTTCATGTATGTATATACATGTCATATGTCCGTAGTTTAATAACGCTTTTACAAACTTCCTTTGGTAAGATGGTGAAAAAATCTAAATCATAAAAAAATCTGCTCGCTTTAAAAATATTGCGATAAGTATGATACTTATAAATATTATTTTTTTGTTGCTATATTTTACATAAATGTGTATTTATACAAAATATTAATTCTTTTTTTATTCGAGAGATTAATTCGAAAACATATATTATATTTATAGTGCGCCTACTATTTTAAAATGTTAAAACAGATTAAGATTAAAAATAATTCCTCCGTCGTTAATTTAATTTTGCATTATATTTTTAAAAGTTCGCTCTCGCGCAGTTGTCACTTAATATATAAACGCTGAGTCATTTCGTATCGTACCTTCGAGCCTCGTATTGTTCTCAAAGCACCTTTGTCCAGAACGCGAACATAAGCACGATAAAAGCAACCGGTATCAAGCTAGTGATATGCAAAATTGCCCATTGTGCATAACAGAAAAATGTGCCACGCTAAATTTCATATAAATATGTAAGACAAATTTATCCATTCTTGTGATATTCGAAAAGTTTATTGTGCTTTCATGTAGTAATTAATATTTATAGTTATTACAGTAAATAATATATATATATATATATATATATATATATATATATATGATGAAATAGAATTCTTCTTCATAGAATTAAATTTTTACGAATAAATGTTTACGAATAAAAAAAATGTAACAGATACATATTAATATCTATTATAATCCACGTGACGGATTATTTAACATGTATAATAAGCAATATTTTTATATTGATCAGCATCATTTTTATATTGACGTATACTAATTCATTGATTGTTGAATGATGTTGATAATGATGATAATTGTGGCACCGATTTCCCATATTTCCATACAATAGTAGTCAAATTTATAACAGACTTCATTATTTTTCTTTCCTGTGGCAATGTCCTCGTAGTGAAAATATTCATGGACTATGTAAAAAAATTGTCGCACGATACGTAAAGTATAAACTCGTAAAAAAAAGGACTACGTAATATTATTAATTGAAAATGATTTGATAAAACTCATTGACGTCCCTCGGACAATATGCACTTCAAATATTGCTCAAACGTTACTCTCCGCTGTCGAAACTGCAATAATCCTAAATCAAAGGACCACACTTGCACAGCGACATGTGTTGACCATTCGTGATCCTTTCCGCTGGTCCTTTTGTACGGTACAAGTTAAGGGTCCTTCAGCACTCAGCCTTGAGACGAGGGACAATTTCTTAGATCCAAACTGTCAAATTATTACTACATGAAATATATAATGGTTTTCCATTTTTCAGATTATTTCACATGTTGAAATATACATATCTCTTGAATAGTGTAAGTCAATTTTAGAGATTTACTACGTCATATTAATAGATTGTCAATATTTGACATATCAATGAACGAAGATAAAAAAGTAAATAAATAATTGTAATGACTATACGTCATTTGGCGAATAAGCTATAATCATATTTTCATGTTATCAGACTTACATTGTGCACGTCACTTGTCACAAGGATGCACATATAAACATGTGCGGGTGATGCATGTGGCCACGCAATGCACGCGTGAGATGTTCCTACGTGTAGGTGTCTGACAATGTAGGAGACGAAGGAAAGAGGAAGAGGATTATGTCGCTATGCCGAGTGATAGGGAGCCCAGTTTCCAGTAACGTACCGTCACTCGAAGTTTTGCGACACGCGCGCAACTTGTTACCGGGAAGACATGGTGTATATTTGATCGTTGTGATACCTCATGCACGAGCCTCACAGTTGAAATGTTTAAATCACGGTGTGGCTAATATAACGCGACTACCATGTGCGACTTTTAGCTTTATTATATTTCAATATTTCACGATATACTATATATGTATATACACAGAAAAAAATGTGTCAAATCAAAACTTTTATACTTAAACTAACGCGTTCATTGTTTCGTAATATATACGTAACAATTTATCTTATCAACAATTTATCTTATAATCTTCTTAGAATTTAATAATTTTAAACTTTAACAATATTATAGTCTTATTTTATTTTATTTCTTATTTTAATATTGTAATTGTTACCTTAAGAATATATAATTATTTAATTTTACTTTAGAAAAATTATAATCTTTGATTTAAAAATATTATTTTCTATTTAACATTGTTTCTTTTCTATTCAAGAAAATTAAATCTTAAATCATAGAGAATCAGAATATATTTTTCTTGATTGAACTATATAAAATGGCTTCATTCAAGTAAGCAATTATTCAAGCAATTATATTTTTCTTTAATTAACGTAATATAAAATCATTTAAAGATTTCCAGGTTAAAACTAAATATATTTTCACGACAAGAATGTCCTTTTTTTCTGTGTAGTATTGATATATTTGATAAATTATAAGAGATTTAAAGAAATGTTCATAGAAATTTCATTCTATGACTGAGAATGATAGATTAGATCTTGATTCGAGCTCCTTTACCTCGTAGTAAAATACAAGTCGTTCATCAAACGCTTTCGAAGACATTACATTATGCGTGTCGCCGCGATTTCCTGCACTATCGCATTGTTTCGCAAGAAAGAGACGCGTGTTGTGAAAATCGAGGTCGCAGATCGAGCGACGGAATGCATTCGCAAAAATCATGGAATTTCCAATCGATGTATAGTATGCAACTCGTTTTAAATCATTATGCACAAATCATTGGCTGTCGATATTCGATCCATCGCGAATCTTCATTCGAAACGAGTCTAAAGATTGTTATGGAGAATGCGAAACGTGATAGAGATGACAAGCACGGTATTGCACTTAGTATGATTTTGACGTGATTTATCGCTATTTTATTTAGACTTAAAGACACATTCCGTTTTTTATAATATTCAGATGCGCAGTAATCACGTAATCGCGATGCTTCAACTGTATTTAGATACAATAAATTTGCGACCTTCAGGCGCATATTTTTTTATTGTTAGAGCATTTGCGCGACGATGCATGTCGAAATAAGATTAAAATGTCTTGTATCGAGGAAGGAAATTAAAGATATAGTCTTTTTGATATGCGTAATTATATTTTTTTTTATCAAGAAAAAGATCTTTAAATCTTTATCTAATCATTCAAAAATAGCTCGCATTTCGACGTTGAATAAATTATTTTATTCTCTGCATTTTTAGTTTTCCAAAAAAAAGAACATGCAGAACCTTTCGGAGACTTCGCATAATATTATTTATGACTAATCGCAATAGTCACACGAGTCGCAGGCGATCACAAGATTGATGTTTGCTCGCTTCTCTGTAACACTCGACAAATGTGAATGCTAAGATCTTTTTGGCACGATGACTAAAGCGTGTGAGAGCGTAATTACGTGCACTATTCGAGAATAATTAGCATCTAATCGCGTCTTTGACAATTAGTGCGATCCTCCTGTTCCTATAGGTGCTGTCACATTCGTTTCGAACGAGTTCTATTAAACGAGTCAACGCGATAAAATAATGAGCTATCGTGGTTCAATGAGTACTGCCGTTTATAAATACATATTTATGACACATGAATCGGCAACTTTAGAATAATGTCACTAATGTCGACCGATCGACTTTGAATCTACGCGTTATGCATATATACCCGTATATAGTAAAGGCGATTAGATTTTTAGCAAAAGAGAACACTAATATACATATTTTAAGAGTCATCATAGAAAAAAAGAAATTGTGATAAATAAATTAGAGAATATTTCTATATAAATACAATAGACGTAATTATTATATTTTAAGATTGGATAAAATAATTATTCTTTTATATAGAATGCATCAAAATCAACTATGCAATTATTTAAAAGAGGAATATTTAGTAACTAGAACGCTTCAATTTTACATGAACAATGAAAAATTCTTGAGAATCCTTGAGAACAGTGTGTCGTATTATTGTAACCGCAGAGTTTCGAATGTAATATTATGTCTGCTATTAATTTACAAAGAATAGATTTGTATGTTTCGGCGGCATTAAATCGAATCAATAGTGAAGCTAGCTATTATTGGGATCTTTAGTTTATTTAGTTTGTTGGTAGTTTATAAGAGCGTGCCTGCTGTATAAACATTTTCGAAGCATTCTATTACGTGTATATTTCGTTGACAGACGAGAAATTTAATATGAGAGATTTGATTTCAAAGAAGAGATTCAGACGATAAATTCAAACATATTCTAGATACAAAATACACGTAAAGCACGTAATTAATCATATTTT